GTAGTTACGTAATATTACAAGTCATCAATTTTACGTGCATAATCGAATGATGTGGCATTATCTACAAAGTAAAGAAAAGGGGAACTGCAATGTTCACAAAAGCGACTGAAGCAGACAAGAACGTTGCCACATAATACGTTCTCATTCGAACATGCGGTGTCATCGAATGATCGAAAGAGCGCAATGGGCCGAGTGATAAGACAAACTTTTCGCAGACAAAGCTATCAGTCGAGCATGCACAAAATACACGAATAAATTAGGAATACCTCTTCGGCAGAAATTCTATGTTAAAATTATGTAATGTAACACAAAGAAAGGTGATTTTATTTTTCCAATTTTTTGATGATAGCAATTTACTCAAATTGGAGTACGCTATTAGTTCTATGCGAAGTAGAAAGCGCAAAGTATAGTAGTGAACGTGAGCTACTTCCTCGTATTGCTGCAGATGTTTTCAGACAAAAGTCCTTCCTAATGAATGGTTCGCTCATTAACCAAAACTTCAATTTTCTAATTTAGCAATAATCATGAGAGTTGTCAATAAATTTCTCATATAAAATCCTGCAATTCTCAAGAATTGAGTCTGCACTTTATTTGCAAAAATTCCCCCCTACCAAACTTTCCCTTATGCGCTCAAAGCTGGCACTCACGCTACATTTTGCGGCCATATGCGCAACGCGGCCTTTTCAACCTCTTAGTCTACGCTTCATATCAGTTTTGGATTTGGGAAGAGTAAGTCATGTGTTACAAAAGAGATCGCAGCCATACTGTTTGCCCATTGCTGGTGCTTATTCCCCACAACTTAGGTAGGACTAGACCAACTTTCTCTTGACACATTCACGCCAAAAGAGTGAAACTCTCGAGCGAAATCTATTTGAACTTTTCTTTACCTACCAATATTATTCATATATAAAAACGGAACGAAAAAATACTGCTCTTAAAACATCCATTACCTCAAACATCAAGGCCTATAGACTGCGCTTAAAATGGGAAGCTTCAAGCGAAGACGAGTAGGATTTACC